GTCAGGGAGGGGGTGCAGAGTGAATGTGGAGGCCCAGGACACGACGTCCTGAGACAGACTTTATGAACTCACATGGGCACATGACACTTATAAAAATACTCTTCTTTCTTCAATAATAAAATTAACCTTAACTTGCTGTAACATTTTTACTTTATAATTTTTTTAATTTTTAAAAATTTTGACTCTTTTTAATAACACTTGCTTAAAACACAAAAGCATTGTACAGCTGTATAAAAATATGTTCTTTCTTTACATCCTTATTCTATAAGCTTTTTACTAATTTTATTTTATTTCTTCACTTTGTTAGACTTTTTGTTAAAAGCTGAGACACGCACAGTTGCCTCGGCCTTCGCAGGGTCGGCTTCTCAATGCCACCATCTTCCGCCTCCACACCTTGTCCCCCTGGAAGGTCCTCGGGGCCAGGAACACGCAGGGAGCTGTCGCCTCCTGTGACACCAATCCCTGTTCCTGGACACCTCCTGAAGGGCCCACCTGAGGCTGTTCACAGTTAACTTTTTTTGCATAGGTAGAAGGAGTACATTCCAAAATAACAATAAAAAGTATCAGTTCGTACATAAGCCAGCCACACTGCATTTATCGTCATATGGAGTATTATGTGCTGGGCATGATTTTCTGTGCTGTGCTTTCACGCAACAGGGCAGTGTAGCAGGTGTGTTGACTCCAGCCTTCCCAAAAACACCTGAGTAGCATACTGTGCTATGACGTTACAACGGCCCTGACGTCACCAGGTGTTGGAGATTTTTCAGCTTCATTGTAACTCTGTGGGATCACAGTCATATAGGAGGTCCACTGTGGATCAGAACGTCATGCGCGCATGACTGTGTATGGGGCGAGCACTAGGTGTAGTGACTACATAAAGAATAAGTGTGTATTCTCCAGCACCACTCACATTCTGGAGGCCAAGCCAGTTGCCCTGCGTGGTATGTGGAAGAGGCTTTCTCATAGCAGCCCACAGGACAAGACCGGAGCCTGCTGTGTGCACCAGGCAGCTCACAAACTTTTATTATTACTATTTGTGGGAAGTAGAAAACTTCCTCTTTAAAGTTTCCTTTCTTGTTAAAGAACAAATCCTAAGTGTGCTAATAACTCCTTGCTAGGCCCTATTCTATGTAGCTGTTGAACACGCCATGCTTACAGGCACGTAGTACATTCTGTGTCCTTGTACTTTAACCAAGATATCTGTGCTGGACGTGCTCACAGGCATGTCCCAGCTCTCCATTGCTTTTACCTGTTTAGAAAAGTTTTAAGTTGTTAGCCAATCGGATTTTAGTTTAGATTGTGAGGTCTGGCTCCAACCAATGGAGATCAGACACGGCAGTAAGGACGACCCCAAATGCACAAGAGATAAATATGTCTGCTTTCCTTTGTTCATTGTACTCTCATGGCAAGATGGCTAGCACGGATACCCTTCCTGCAGTCCAGGAAGTAAAAATTGTATTGCTGAAAGCTCCTTTGTCTCAGTGCTATTTTTTTTTTTTTTTCAGCACTGAGCATCTGTTTCCAACATTATTAGAAACAGAGTCTCACTCTGTCACCCAGGCAGTGTGACAGAGTGGAGTGCAGTGACATGATCACGACTCACTGCAGCCTTGACTTCCCCGGGTTCAAGCAATCCTCCCACCTCAGCCTCCTGAGTAGCTGGGACTAAAGGTGTGTACCACCATGCCCAGCTACTTTTTGTATTTTTTGTAGAGATGGGGTCTCAACACGTTGCCCAGCTGGTCTCAAACTCCTGTGCTCAAGGGATCCTCCTCCCTTGGCTTCCCAAGTGCTAGGATTACAGGCCTGAGCCACCGCACCCGGCCACAAACGGTATTTTTATTTCTCACCAGAATCCTGCTAGGGATGTAATCATTACTCATATTTTACAAAGAGAAAGCCTGCGAATCTGAGAGATTCTTAAAAACCTCTCCACAGTGACCCGCCTGGTACATCAACCCACACACAGGTGACGGCTCATGTCATTCCCACCCCCAGCAAGCCGACCAACCCCGTCTCCTCTAATTGCATCTCCAGGAATCTCTGTTTCCTGGATCAGCCAGACAGGGACCTGGATCAGCCAGACAGGGGAGCCCAGGGAGTGGGGAGAGCCGGCGGCTGACTCGAGGGCCACAGTGGCTGTCCTGGTTAGGTTGATGGTCACTGGGCCCTCCCGCCAAGCGTCGCCTGCTCTGCTGTCCATGAGGTCCCTGCCTGCACTGGGTGGGGACTGTGGGAGCTTTTGCAGGGAGAGGGAACAGAGGGGAAGGGAACCAGGAGCAAGCGGAGGGAAGGCGATGGGGGAGAAAATGGAAAAGAGGGAGAAAGAAAAAGCTTCGTTTTGCTCAAGGGGTGGTTCAAATGGCACCAGCTGTTGCTCCAGGGTCCCTGGGGGACCCCTCAAAGGAGGAGGAAGGGGGTGGTACACTCTGAACGATTTTGAGGTGTCACGTGGTCGATTAACACACTCATGGTGCTGAATCGGACGGGAGCAGTTATACTGGAAACCGGTCAGAATGGCCCAAGGACCCCCAAGCCCAGGCCCAGGCAAACACAGTGGAAGTTGCTTTAGAATCCGTGCTTGAGGATCCGAAGGGCAATATAGGCACTGGCTGAGAAAATGGGGCCTTCGTGCATCAGAGAATTTCTAAAGAAAGGAAGTGGGGTTGGAGTGCTGGCACGAGAAGAACGTTCCTGAGAAAGACACCTTGGGAAACACAAGTGCCCACACATTAAAGATGTTCCTGCACCCGGAGCCTCATGCCAGGCGGCCTGCAGACAACTCTGCCTAAGAACAAAGGTCCGCAGACCAGAAACTGCCTGAAAAGACCTGAAACTTGAAGGTTTTACCCAACCCGGCACACGAGAAGGCCCCAGTGCCAACTCCAGCAGCAGAACCTCCACACTCTCCACCCGGAGGCGCAGGTAACCCACAGGCCCCTGGAGAGCACGCCAAACACCCTCTCCAGGAATCCGCCCGCCTGCCTTGGCCTTGCCGCCAGCGTGGCCAGGAACCCCGGAACCCATAAACTAAGTGTACTGGGAGGGCAGACGAGAAAGGACAGCGCTCTGGGAAAAATAAATTCACAAACGCCAGACTTCGTCTCTGTCACCTGATGGTCTTGAGTGTTTTTGAGACCCCACGTTGCCAACAAGGGCCAATGTTCATTGAGCACATGAGGTTGTGAGCAAGATAGAGACACAGCTGAGACCCAAAGCTGTATGTGGCCTCCTTCCCGAAGTGGGAGTCCGAAGAGCTGGTGTAAGGCCACATCCGTCCCTTGAGGAAGCACTTCCTAATATTCCCATCTTCCAATGGGAAGCCAGTGGCGCTGGCCCCACCCCACCCTGGAAGGCAGAGGCCTTGGATTCTCTGGGGTGATGGGAGTGGGCCATTGGCTGACACATTTGCTAAGCCAGTCGGCTTGGGCTACGAGAGTGATGAGGGTGAAAGCAACAGAAAGGCTGGCCTTGTGTCATCCACTCTGCACTCCCGCCACCACGCTAAATGACACCAGGGCCCCTTAGAGCAGATGCAAAAGACTCTCTCAACCAAATACAGAGCTACTATTCAATGCAGCAATCCCTACTGGTTCTCCAAAGGAAATGAAATTATTCTATCAAAGATACCCACCCTTGTACAAGAGCAAAGGTATGGAGTCAAGCTAAGTGTCCATCCACAGGTAAATGGATTTAAAAAATGGTATATACACACAACGAAGTGATATTCAGCTATAAAACGATGGAATCCTGTCTTTTGCAGCAACGTGGATGGAACTGGAGATCATTATCTTAAACAAACAAAAAAAACAACTAGGCCCAGAAAGTCAAATATCGCCTGTCCTCACTGGTAAGTGGATGCTAAAAACGTGTACACGTGCACACAGAGAGGAATGGCGGGCAAGGCACATGTGGATGGCGGACGGGGGCAGGGGTGGGTGGTGAGAAACTAATGGGTACGATGTCGGCAATCACCCTAAAAGCTCTGACCTGACTACTATGTAAACTATGCATGTAACGAAATTGCAAATGGGCCCTGTAAATTGGTACAAAAATAATAATAATAATAATTAATAAACAGGAATCTTCCATTCAGTGATCTCCCCACGGCTGGTATTGCCTTCATGAAATGCTGTCAACTTCCTCCCTCGAATATCCTCAAATGTTAGCAGTTACCAAAGCTACCCTCAGGCGGAAGCCAGAAAACACAGAAGCAAAGAGTTGGGAGAGAATTTTTGGCTTACCCAGTCCAAACTCCGTCCCTGCTCCCCTCGGAAGTAGGAGACGGCCGGCTGCAACACACTCATTTCAAAAGCAAGGGGTCCGTGAAGCATTTGGTCAAAGAGAAAGGATTTTGCGATTGCAATCTGAGGTCACATATCACTCCAAGAAGTTTTTAGGGCTAGTCATTTGAGTTTTTATAAAAAGGACCGAGTATAGAAGTTATAAAGTGATGGCGAATTCTGAAATTTACTTACGTGCTATACTTTTTTATTGCTTTTAGAGAAACCTGAAAGTATTCAATAAATTTTTTCTCTTAAAAAAGTTGAAGTGACATTAAAACTGCCCAGCATGGTGGCTCACGCCTGAAATCCCAGCACTTGGGAAGGCTAAGGCGGGTGGATCACTTGAGGTCAGGAGTTCAAGACCAGCCTGGCCAACACGGTGAAACTCTATCTCTACTAATAATATAAAAATTAGCCAGGCGTGGTGGCACACGCCTGTAATCCCAGCTGGGAGGCTGAGGCAAGAAGATAGCTTGAACCCGGGAGGAGGGGGTGGAGGTGAGCCAAGATGGCACCATTGCACTCCAGCCTGGGCAACAGAGCAAGACTCGGTCTCAAAACAAACAAACACTCCAAAGACCCTGCAAGTACACACACACATGTACACATTCACACATATACACACAGTCATGCATGTGTACACACACCCATACATGTGTACACACCCACACTGCCATCACCATCTCTGTGTTAATGAAACCAAAATGAAATGTAGCACATTTTAAGAGTTTTATTTAAAGAAATTGTACGTTAGACCATTGAAAGGATAAAAAGATGATTCAGACAGCCCAGGATTTCATGAGCTATGAAGCTGACAGGCGGTGAAGCTTCTCCTTTTGTTTCGGAACACCCGCTGGAGCCAGCGGCTCTTAGTAATGGCAGTCTAGAAATTCAAATGTGAGACCGTTGATAAGGGAATCCCAGAAATATGGGACCCTAGGCTGTGAAGCTGGGGTGCGTGCACGTCGCTTTAGCAGGAGCTTCCTACTAAAGGAGCCCCTCTCCTGGGAAAGGGTGTAAAGGGACCAAGTCCCCCAACTGCAGGCTACTTTCCTCTGTGGGGTGCATTCTCCCCAGACAAGCAAAGATTTTCTAGGTGGACCTTTTGTCCTATAAAAATCCTGAGCGTTAAACATTTTGCTCTTTGGAGTACTTTGATATCCTAAGAAAGGACATAAAAAGGCATCCTTCAAGGACCAGAGTGCTCTTTCCCTATTTTCCTGGATCTGGATTTCTGCTTGGTCTTTTTTTATCTTGCCACACTGTGTGTCAGGGACACACTATAACTAAGCGGGTGGGAGACGTGGACCCGCTCACCTCTGCGCACGGGACCCTCCCAGGACTGCCCCGGAGCAGGACTTTGCGGGCCGCGTTTGTCACTGGGGGTCATGTGGGGGAGGGTGGGGAGGCCACGGGAGGAGGGTCCAGGTCTGCTGGAGTTGGCCCTCTCTAGTACCCAGAGCAGTGCAAGACACTCAGAACACAGATCGAATTGCCATAAAATAGGCGATGCCGCTGAACGTGGCGACAGACACATCGGGAGGCCACAGGGAGGAGCTGCTGTTTCTGGAACCATCACAGATGGCGCAGTCATTTACATTTACATTTGCGGAAAAGATGCTGGCTTTGCCAAGAACATTCTGGAATTGCCTTCAGAATCCCAGGGGAGGCAGCCTACCTCCCCAGGGACTATGGAAGTACTGGCCCTGGGACCACCTCCCCTGGGGACTGTGGAAGTGCTGGCCCTGGGACAGCCTCCCTGCACCCCACCTCTACGGATGGAGGAGAAATCATGTGTCCAGGAACCGAAGGGAGCGTCCCCCAGCGGCGTTACCTTCCACAGACTTCGGGAAGAAGCACCAGGGCACTTCAAAGATGAGGTTGGAGAAGCAGCACTTCCGAGAGGCGCACTCCTCGGGGCTGATGCCTGGGTAGCCACAGTTTCTTCGGTCAGAGACCTCCATGACGCACTGCTCCGACTCTGCAACCGGACAGGCACAACGCAGAGACCCAGTCAGGCCTGTGGCGCACTGCACAGCTCCACCCCTTCCTCCGCTGAAAGCACAGCCGATCTGCAGCCTCCGGGGATCAGGAGGGGCTGCCGGGGGCTCCCCCAGGGACTGTGGAAGTGGTGGCCCCTAGGACCACCTACTGTCAACCCCAGTGACACTTGGCTGGCCTGTCCTTCCCAAAGGTGGGGCCCGGCGTGGGGTGGTCACAGTCAGAAGCTCTGGTGTCCCCGCCTCGGGGAAATCACTTTGCCTCTCAGGACTCAATGTTCTCCTCTGTAAATGGGCCGGCCCCCATGCCAAGGTGAGCAAGGGTTTTGGGGCACCTTGGAAAAATGGAAAGCATTTGGACGCAGTACTGACACTCAGGGACACTGCCATTCCGTGGCGCTCATGAATAATCCAACATCTGCCTGGTTCCCTGTGGGGCCTCACAAGCCTCCCAGCAACAATCCTGGGAAAGAATCGCCTTCCCTGAGGGCGCACCCGGCCCCGTGCGCACAGCTGCACAGCACACATGCAGCCTTCTTCTGAGCACACTTCAGTGTTACGACATGGATCCTGACCACATGCAGTGACATAAAACTCGTTCCCAAAGAACCCTAGAAGGCCTCACTTCCTTCCCTAGCATTTGAGGTCTGTCAGCCCCTGTTACTGCTGCCCTATTAAATATCTTCATTTCCCTGTTGAAGCTTCTTCAGAAGTCACATTTCAAAAGTTAGAGGAGACGTATTTTTTTTTCCTCAACTAAAATAAAACTGATGGCTTCACAAACACGTCTGCTGAAGAAACTAATGGTGTAGAAACAGGATGGGTGGGACATTTTCATCTCATTGTTGGCTGACATGGGCTACCTCTAGATTAACAGTCCAGGCTAGCCTCAGTCTAACCAACCTGGCTAACCAACCTGGGCTGGCCCCAGACTAACCAACCTGGCTAACCAACCTGGGCTGGCCCCAGACTAACCAACCTGGGCTGGCTCCAGACTAACCAACCTGGGATAACTAAAGGCTAACCAACCTGAGCTAGCTCCAGACTAACCAGCCTAGGCTAGCCCTAGACTAACCAACCTTGGTTAGCTCCAGACTTACCAACATGGGCTAGTCCCAGATTGACCAACTTGGACTAGCTCCAAACTAACCAGCCTGGACTAGCTCCACACTACCCAGCCTGGACTAGCTCCAGACTAACCACCCTTGGCTAGCTCCACACTAACCAACCTAGGCAGCCCTAGACTAACCAGCCTGGGCTAGCTCCAGACGAACCCACCCAGGCTAGCCCTAGACTCGCAGCTGAGCCTCCCGCAGCCCCTGCTCTGGGCTCCAACTGTGCAGCTGGGTCCTGGGCTGCCGGCCGCTGGCCCAGGAAAAGGGTGTGGCTTCCCTGGAAGATTACCTTGCTTCGGGAGGGGGTGGAAACACCAGGGGACCCCACCAACAGTGGAGTCGAAACAGCATCCATTGTCAAAGCACTGGTCACTGGTGATCCCTGGGAAGCCGCAGTTCTTCCTGTTATGAGGACTCATCCTGGAGCACTGGCAGGGGGCTGTGGAAAGACCCCCATCAGCCCCGCCTTGGTACCCTAGCCCACGCCTCTCCTCCTCTCAGAGGTTTTAGGGGATGCCTCTATTTCTGAAGACCCCCGTCAGCCCCGCCCTGGTACCCCAGCCCACGCCTCTCCTCCTCTCAGAGGTTTTAGGGGATGCCTCTATTTCTGAAGACCCCCGTCAGCCCCGCCCTGGTACCCCAGCCCACACTGCTCCTCCTCTCAGAGGTTTTAGGGGATGCCTCTATTGTCTGGTTGCCACACAGAGAAACATGAAGTCTTATCTTGCTCATATTTGAGCAATGCAGTTGCCCCCTGAGAAACTGATGGGGCTTTGCTGACATTTTTATGATAGTTTAAAATGTTTAAAAGGCCAGGTATGGCAGCTCACACCTATAATCCCAGCACTTTAGGAAGCCAAGGATGGGCGGATTGCTTGAGCTCAGGAGTTCAAAACCATCCTAGACAACATGGCGAAACCTTGTGTCTACGAACAATAATGAAAAAAAAAGTTAGCCAGGCATGGTGGTCCACACCTGTGGTCCCAGCTCTCAGTAGACTGAGGTGCGAGGATCACTTAAGCCCAGGAGGCTGAGATTGCAGTGAGCCAAGATCGTGCCACTGTACTCCTGCCTGGCTGCCAAGTCAGATCCTGTCTCAGAAAACAAACAAACAACAACAACAACAAACAAAACAAAACAAAACAAAAAAACCCTTCTAGAAGAGGTTGAACAGATGGACCCAAGGCCAAGATCAAGGGGACAAGTAAGTGCTCTGGGACTCTGAGGACCCTTGGTGGGAACGGCCTCCCGACCCTGCATGGGGCCCGCTGACACCTGTGGTCACACAGCCTTTCCCTCGGAGGGAGGCCCTTCTCGGAGCCCCCCACCCAGCAGCGGCAAATCCCACACTCCTTGACACACCTTGTCAAATGCCTTTACAGCAATTTCCCCTCTCAAGTTAAATTATGGCTGTGCTTTTCTTTTTAAGAGAAAGAAGGCACTTAAGAAGACCCTCTCTTTCCTGTCACTTACAGGGTTTCTCGGCCCCTGCCAGGGCACAGAGCCCCAGGACAAGGAGCGCTGCCAGGAGCTGGGCGTCCCGTGGTCCCATGTCCAGCGCAGCTGCACCCCAGGGCGGCTTGCGGAATGCATGGAGCTCTCCGCCGGGCGTGCTTTATAAGCTCCTCTCTGTTTGTCCAACAAGCACAGATAACCTTTCCCCCCTGCCCCGCGGCCCCAGCCTTTCCACCGTGGAGGCGAAGATGAGGCAAGGGGCAGCCGTGCCCTGTGCAGGCGAGGCTTCCGGGCCAGGGCGACTCTCTCCCTGCTCGGCGAGGCCTCTTCCTGCCCAGGCCAGGGAGTTGGGTCATGCCAGGCTGCCAGCGTGGAAAACCAGCCACGTGCAGGTCTGGGGCCAGACACACACAGGGTCACACCCAAGAAGGGATAAGCCATGCATTTCTACTGATAGGGAGTGTGGGCACCCCAGGAATTTAGAAAGAACTAGGGCCAAGTTTACTGGGGAAAATGAACAGGCCAGCAGGTGGTATGGAAAAGACCCTTCCCCGAGGAAGGGAAGCATCTCAGAGGAGCGAAGATCTGCTCCCGGGGCTGTGTTAGAGCCTCCCCAGCCACGGCACGAAGCCCCTCGTCCCATCTTCAGCAGGAGGGGCGGCTCTCCATGGACACAAGGCTGACAGAGTCAACAGAGCCGCCTGGGGCAGGCAGGTTTTAATCATTTCATTTTCAGCCAACCCCTGAAAATGGTTCTTTTTGTTCCATGGAATGCTGTACAGCACCCGGGACAGCTGGTAAGGGATGGCACCTGGGACCCTGCCTGGGGTGAGATGTGCAGCCCCGCCCTGCTCCGGGTGGGATGTGCTGGAGAAGGAGTCTGCGAACTGGACAGAGAGGACACAGCCAGCGGGCAGACACCCCAAAAGAAGGGGGAAGCATGGTGGGAAGGACAGAGGGACACCCGACATTCCCCAGGCCAGGAAAATGACAAGGGTTTGCCAGTCTATTTCTGACGGCTGAGCAGTCAGGGGCCCAAAGACACAGGGAACCCAGAATCCTTGGTCTGCCACAGGGCTGTCCTCAGGGTCTGGAGAGCAGGCCCCGTCCTCCCGGCCCCCATTCTCCCGGCTCCCGGCCCCCAGGCCCCCGTCCTCCCGGCCCCCGTCCTCCCGGCCCCCGTCTTCCTCGTCCCCGTCCCCCCGGCTCCCGTCCCCCAGGCCCCTGTCTTCCAGGCTTTATCCTCCAGGCTCCTCTGGGTCCGGCTCAAGCGCCTCCACCTCTGAAAGAGGGTATGCAAATATCCTTTCTGCCCAGGGTGTCCTAAGCTCTGAACATTCTCTCCGTTACTGCCACCACGCCTTTGCCTAAATCCTAAAGCCCTCCGACCCCCTAGCGCCCCCAGCTTCCCCTCTGGGAGCCCCTCCTCTCTTTTCTTCCTTCCTTCTTCTCCTGCCTGACTTCACCCACTGTCTTCCCCTCTGCTGTCCTGCACCACCGTCTCTGTTCCCACACCATCTGCCCAGAGAGGCCAACAGGTGCCATCAATTGTTGCCACTCTAAACGTGTGATCTCAGCACCATCCGGGCACTCAGGGCTGGCACCCTCCTTCTTTGTGACTATCCTTCTGCATACTTTGGGGATGATACTGTCCATCAGTTCACATAGAAAGTCAACAAATGGGAACCACCACAGAGATCACCCAGGCAGACTTCTGCTTTTGCCTATCGAGTCACTGGCACCAGGCTAGCTTGCCACCGTAAGGAACTCTAAAACTGCATGAAGTCACTGTCTACAGATATGGAGCAGCAGGCAATGCCAGACAGCGATCTCTGAGAGGAGAGAAACATGGAGGGAGCCCCGTGGTTTCTTGGAGACGCTCTCCAGACCACAGCACAGGGAGGGGAGACTGAAGAGCACTGCAGCCCCACCGGGCTGAGGAGACAGAGGCCGGAACCGGAAGCTTCTGAGGCAGGCAGGTTGTCAGGGTAAGAGAAGGGAGCTCCGGAAATACAAACGGGGATCCTTTGAGCTTTTCATCAAATACTACTATACTGTTCATGCCACGAAGCCAGGCAAAACAGCTCCTGGGGACAGAACAATCACGGGGAAGACTGGACTGAACAACCAGTACAGGCTTCATGGGGCTGGAAATCCTCTGAGCTCTGAGCAGCCAGAGGTGCTGACCACTTCCGGCATTCCATAACGGTAGTGCCATAAAAGGAAGCCTGATCATTCTAGAGGAAAGCTACTCAGCACCTGTTCTAACAAAACTTTAACACAAGTCTTGCAAGAATCAAGTTAACCTGTAAGTCAATTAACTGCTTGTATGAGTTTGCTCAGGTTGCTATAACAAAATACCACAAATTGTGTGGCTTAAACAACAGAAATGTACTTTCTCACAATTCTGGTGGCCACAAGTCCAAGATAGGGTGTCGGCAAGTCTGGTTTCCACTGAGGCCAACTTTTCCCATATCTCACATGGCCTTGCCACTGTGCACGCACATCCCTGGTGCCTCTCTTTGTACAAGGACATCAGTCAGATTGAATCAGGGCCCACCATGACAGCCTCATTTTAACTTGATTATCTCCTTTAAGACTTTGTCTCCAAATGTAGTCATATTCTTAGGTAATGGAATTTAAGGCTTCATATATGAATTTGAGGGGAAAAAGTCAAGCAATATCATTACCCAACAGAGCAAAGCTTTCAACACTGTCAACGAAGACAGTAAAAGCTAAATACACAACATAGCATCCCTAATGTCTAACACAAAATCAGAAGTTACTAGATGTGTGGAGAGAACGAGGAAACATGGCCGATAATCATTAGAAAAATCAGGGAAAGAAAACAGACTTAGAAATGGCATGAAATGTTCAGAGATGGAAAGAAAAAACATAATATAATAAAGGAATAAAAGGGAATTTCAATAGATACATGGAAACTAAAAATTAACCAGGTACAAATTTTAGAAATAAAAAATACAACATCTGAAATGAAAAATACACTGTATAGATTTTAGATTAAATAGCATTAGGTACTGCAGAGGAATGGTTAGCTTACTCGAATGAAGCCAATGCAAGATAAACTATCCAAACTAAAGCATGACGTAAAAATGGCTAAACAAATCAACAGGATTCCAGTGACCTGTGAGACAATGTCAAGCTGTCTAACATTTATGTAATTGATGTACCAGTAGGAGAGGAGACAAAAAATCATTTAAAGAAATACTCAATCAAGAATGAGTATTGAGTAAATACTCATTAGATTGTTTGTGAAGTTGATGAGAAGTATAAACCTACAAATCTTAGAGGCTCAAAGAACTTCAAGGAAGATAAACACCAAAATAAAACCACTGTCAAGGCACAGCATGCTCCGACTGTTGAAAATCCAATGACTTTAAAAACTCTTAAAGAAGCTGGAGAAAAAGACTGCTATGGTTTGAAAGTGCCCTCCAAACTCATGGTGAAGCTTCATCCAAACTGGGGCAGCATGGAGAGGTGAGGCCTTTAAGAGATGTTAGATCATGAGAATTCTGTGCTCATGAATGGATTAATCCACTCATGAATTAATGGATTCGTGGGATGATGGATTCATGGGTGATCATGGGAGGGGACCTGGCAGCTTTATAAGACGAGAGACGTGAGCTAGCACATTAAGCTGACCTGAGCACAGTGCCCTCACCATGGAATATTCTGGGCTGCCTTGGGACTCATCTGAGACCCCACCAGCAAGAAGGCAGCCTCTCGACCTTGGACATCCCAGTCTCCAGCACTGTCAGAGAGGAAGTTCATTTCTTACAAATTACCAGTTTCACCTTAGCAACAGAAAATGGGCAAAGACAAAGGCATACGGCACTGAGCGGAACATAATAACAATAATGATTGACTTTCTCCGATAATGCGAACCAGAAGACAGTGGGCTTACATGTGTAAGTGGCCAGGGGAAAGTCAGAATTCTACACTCTGAAAACGTCCTTCCAAACAATTTTCAGGTGAACAAAGGTTTAGAGACGCTCTCACTTGCAAATCTGCCCTTCAAGGAACTTTAAAGAAAATTTTTAAATGCTTAGGCTAAAATCATGAGCACCCCTTAACACAGGACATGAATTCTCCAGGTTGCTCCAGCCAGTTCCCACCCGGCCGAATCTGTTCAATTATGGCCTCTGCTTGGTCTCATTTGAGTTTACAACCCTGTCCAGACTGCAGGATTTCTCACTTGGTTCACTACAACTATCTCCTAACTAGACTCTAAAATGAAAATGGTTTTGTCCCTACCCAGAAAAAAAAAAAAAAAAAAAAAAAAAAGAACTCTTGCTTACTTTTTGTAAAATAAAAACCTATGTCCCTTCTCTGTCACTCCTTGGCTCCTCACAGCCTGGAGGGTAAAGACCAAACTCCTGAGTATGAAAAGCAAGACCCTTCCTGAATGAACTGGACTCCACATGTGCCACCACCTCCTTCTATTGTCAGGCCCTGCGTTATCACGTGTGTGTCTGCGTTTCATCTTGGAGCCTTTGCTCATGTGTGCCCCCACACCACAGTACCCTTCCCCTCCTCTTTGCCTGGTTAACACTCATCTTTCCCTCAGCTCTTAACTCAGGAGTCACTTCCTCCGGGAAGTCTCCCTCTATTTCCTCCAGAGTAAAGATGGGTGCTCTTCACCCAGTTCCCTACAGCGCCCTTTATCTATCTGAATCATAACACTTGGCCACAGCCACACCATGAGTGAATTTTTTACTTTTCTGGGTCCTTTATTAATTATACCAAAGATAACAGCTAACGTACAGGTTTACTTGTGCCAGGCATCACTCTAAGAATTTTGCTTTCTGCTATTTTTACTTTTTTTAATCATTACATCAATCCAAAGGAGGCCTAAAATGATCTTCCTCATTTTGTCATCACATAGGCAAAATAATTTGCCCGAATAACACAGCACGCAAACGTAGGATGAGATCGGGTCAAGCGCACGCCTCATTTGTCTGCAACCCCAGGACCCACCCTCGTTCTGGCACGTGGTAGACTGAATGAGCGCAGTCAAGTAGAGAAATGGATGACAGACATCCCAGGAGTTTGGGGAATAGACATTTGTGATTTATTTCTACACACTCTTATATTATAGTCTTAAGCT